CTTAGAGGTCTATTATGCCCCCTTCGCGAATTCAGAGTATTTTTCTAAGCCTGATGTAGTAGTGAACGTACTCCACTTCATCCGATCTTACATATCACTTATATATCTAACTCTTCATCTGCTGTTCGGTGACGTTTTCAGTAAAGTATCGAACGAAAAGGACATGGAAACTTAAAAAATGATACTCTAAATGAAATAATCAAATCTGCTAATAAAAATACATTCAATACCAAATTTATTAAGCAATATTAATAGAATCGTTTCCTAAACCACAAGCTCTAATATCTAAAAGCAATTGTGCTAATATTTACTCTAAACGTATGATTTGTGAGATACAAAGGTCACCTAAAATATATTAAATGATGACAAAATATGTAGTAAGTATAGTTAGTGAATGAGACAATTTATGATGAGCGGCTCTAATTTATGGTTAATTTAATTTGAACAATAAATGACAGAATAAATGAATTAATTACCTTTAAAAAGTTATGACATGATATCTAAATTAAGAGGAAATACATCTTTTTTTGTTATTTCGGAACGATAAAAGTTTTCATTCTTTGTTACTTAAATAGATTTGCTAAATATTTAAATATAGTAAATAATAGTATACGTTTAACATATGTTAACTAAAATAAAACTTACTTTGAACGCCTGTATCCTAAAATAGATTTTACGTATAATGACATTTGTAAATATATGAAACTGTTAGTATCTCATTGATTTTGCTTTACTTATATATGTGTATCGGGGTATTGAAGATACAAATTTTTGATATATTCTATTTACTATCCATAAGATATAGAATGTTGAATAATTAATAAGTTTGTTATTAAAAAAAATTTAGAAAACAGTTTTCCTCGAAATGAATTTAAATTTGTTTGGAATCAAATACTTTAAAGAATTTATTTGATCATTATCTTCATATATTGAACATACAAGTTATCCGCTTTTTTGGACATTAACTACAACATAAATAAAACAAACTTATTAATAAGATTTTGATCAGCTTTTAATTTCATTATATCATTATCAGTTGCAAAATACAAAATCAAACAGATATCTTTCAAGGGATATCCTATGATTTGGAGTATATTAGTTAAAGTGTTTCAAAACGTCGAGAGTTTGTCCACTGTCTGTATAAATATTATCCGTTTGCCGTTTTTTTTAATTAATGAAACTGAAAAATTATTAATTTTTCGAAAAGTACAGAGAGGTGATTCCAGCAGAACAGTATTATAAAGCACACTGTTTTGGCTTTGTGACTCGAGAAAATTGCCAGAAAAGTTCCTAGGCTTTTATGGAAAAGATTGTGTTTATGCAAACAATTCTTAAACTATTAACGTTTGAAATTCGAACATTCGTCGAGTTATGACCAAATTATTACAGAGTCTGCTATATACAGACAAGGGCAATTCTTTAACTGTCAATGGCAAGCTATATGCCTATAAGTAATCGAAAACTATATCAAAAGCATTCAGGTGGATTTTGGAGAATATTTGAATAATATTGTAGTTTACACGTAATAGCAAGTAAGATAGTGATATACACTTGAGTGTCTTCATGTCTTTTATCAAACAATATATTGAAATAAATTTTGTTTGAAGTCTCATTGACATGTGTGCTTTATTTACATTTAGTTTTGAAATCACAAAATGGAAGCCCCTATATATATAAATACATATATGCATGAATTATGTATTTGTACAAGTAGAGTAAATTACATATTTTGAACAATTAATTAAAAATTTAATTAAATATTTATATATGTTCGGTATCCCTAAAATAGAAAATTATCTTAATCTGTCAATATACAACCAATAAGTTAACCTTTAAATAACTTCAATGTAAATAAGTATTATACAATTGGCATAAATATTAAACTTTATATATACTATTAATGCTTATTTTACAGATTCGCAATAAATATTGTTCAGCCCTTTTACTTGGTTTATCATACGAAAACATGAAAGAAATATAAAAGAAATAGCTTGACGTACTATTGTTTATCAATGTCACTTTAATTTTTCTATATAATTTTTGGCACTACATTTTTTCTAGTAAGCTTTACATTTGGCGGTGTTATTAATTTTTTGATAACAATATGTTAATAATAATTTAAATAAAAATAATAGAGATTAACTTTCGTTCCTTTAATATAACATTCTCTATTTTTTTCATAATTTTAGAAAATACATCCTAATTGATTCAAATGTAATTAATCGCTTCATAAAAATTTCCTCAAAATCGGTTGAATGAATAATGTCTGTGTACATTCATAACAAATAAAGAAACACACAAAATCTCATTTATGTATTTATAGGTATATATATCTAGATTTAATAGAAGAATCATTCAATATAATATTATACCTGTATCTATATATATATATTATGCATTAGTATAAATAATTTTTTAGTTTTAAAATTTAGTTTTTAGTTTTTAAAGTAATTGTAATTTTTGCTCAAAAAAATATTTTTAAAAAAAATAATAAATTGTTAAGGCATTTATATAGGTTTTCACTGTACTTATGTTTAATTAATTCCAAAACTTCAAGCCCGCCGGGCATTGCTTGCCTTTTTTGCAGAACATAAACACAATTGGTGAAATATTTCACAAACAAAATGAGCTTAACTACAGAAGTGAACGACACCTAAAAACTTGTTTTTAGTTTTTATATTTTTTGTAATTATTTTTTTTTTTTTTGGATTTTTCAATTTTACAAATTCATAACAAAAACTAAAAAAGAAATTATTGTTCAATTATAATTTTATATGTGCAGGTAAAACACATTTTGCACAATTTGTTTAATAATTAAAATTATTTAAGTTTTTTTTTTTTATTAAAGAAAATTTAACATTGCATGCAAAAACTACATTTTTACAACACAAACTACTTGTGAGTAATTATTTTCTCAAACTTTTTTTTTCCATTCTGTTAAGAAAAGAAATTATTTACTTTACGAAAACAAAAACAAGACCGCAAAAATGTATGTTTTCATACACACCACAAAAATATTTGTATTTGATTGGCTTATTTTATTTCAGCAATGTATACACGTGTACAATAATAATTTATTGGATTTTCATTAATTTTGTTATTTCTTCATTATTAAGTAAAATTATTTACTATATTTTTAATTTTAATTATTTACACAAATTTAAAAACAAAGTTTTTAGAAGAGCGACCGTTGAACAACTCACAGGAAACAAAATTAATACTGTTTGTTGTTATTTCTCTTTTTTATCCTATATTCGAAGTATTCCCTAATGTTTATATAGTAATCAGATTCATGTTCACAGTTCCAGTCAGTATAGCTTCGACGAAAACAAAGAAGCAAAGTTTAAATTGTTTAAGACGTACTAGAAAAATATGATGGTCCAAGAGAGACTATCTTCATTATGATATAATTTAAAAAAAAATAGGGTGATACTAAAAGTAGGAAAATTCATTTATTTTAATTTGTGTTTATTTTAAATTGATTAACAATAAAACTTGCAATCATGCTTTGTCGTATTAGTGAATGTAACTTATTTACTTTTACAACTGGGTTATAAAGGGGGCCGCGCAATTCTGATGTCGCCGACGTGCAGAGTTGGTCTAGCTCCACCACTGCAGTTTGCATAAAGACTCAAAATCAGAAACATACCAACAAGCTAACTTCATTGCTATAATTATGAAGCTAGTAAATCCTTTTCAATATTTATTCTTGTAGACTTAAAAATTTTGGTCAAAAACTTTCAATGGCTGGAAAGGGTTTATTAAAATAGTGCTTCATACATATGTTTTTAATGCATTATATATTCTTTTTTGTAAAAACCGTCTATTTTAAATTATGTTAAATATTTTTTGACTTATTTTTTTATGGAAACCTATTATCTGGTAAACACTTCCTACCAAAGAAAATCTGTCACTCTCATACAGCAGTTACCAACATTCTTCTATAGAAGTCTCTTCTTTTGACAATTTTATAATATTTTATAATATATACTATATATTACTTTTTGATTATTAATTATGTTGCATAAATTATGTGTCAATTAAAAACTACGTGTAATAGTACATTCACGTTGTGTCATTTAAGCACTTGCTCATTTATATTAATAAGTGAACGTTCACATTATAATGAGCTTATTTAGGCTGTGGTTACATTACATCCGAATTTTGTCTTGCCTGTTCGTACGAAAAAATCAAACATAAGTAATCTTATGCAAGTGATTACAGTTGCTGAGAACTATTCACGCGACGTGTTGTCCTCTCGTGCGAAAATTTGATTAAACAAAATATTTTGTTTGAAATTCATTCGGTCGTGGATTTGCTAATTTAATTTTATTTATTATTTAATACACTATTATTTTTTATTGTGAACACATTCTTAATTACTAATTAAAAGAACTAATCAATTTTAATTATAAATTAAAGAAAAATATTAAAGCTTGTCAATTTATTTAAAATGAAAATTTGCTATAAATAATAGAATATTAAAAAGATATAATAGTAAGATGTAAATAAGATAAGTTGAAATTGTTACAAATATGTTGCTTACTGTACTGAAGCACTTACCGTATTGTAACAATTAATTTGAAAATTAAAATACTTGATAATTTTTGATAGAATACCATTCAGAATATAATGGAATGTTGCCTTTTTTATTCTACAGATTCAGAAAACTTTTTGGTACATCAGTAAATAATTAAAATCGATAGCAATATCATAATGAGCCATGACTTCAGCTCAAGTGTGCTTCAGTGCAAAAGGCTGCCACTCCTACCCAATCGTTAGAAAATACTAAATGGTAAAATTATAAAAATACTTTTAAGCAAATGGAATATGTAGAGGTATAGAATCATTATTTAAAATTTTTATATAATTTTTGACGTTTAATATAAAATACAATGTTCAAAACTTATTGTTTAATATATTTTGTATTGTCAATAGAAAAAAATTTTGGTTAAAAAATGTATGATATATTTACACACCAATTTTAATCTTTGCAATACAACCCTGCGTGTAGAATTTTTTCCCTCTACTTTTTGTGTTTACTAAACACACGCCATCAAAATGTATGTGTAATGTCTTTGATCGGCAAGAATGTATGACAGAAAACACGGCAGTCTTTAAAATATAAATTTTGGAAAAATATGTAATGTAATTAAAATTTTAAGTAAAAAAAGCGAAATTCATGTATAGTTAACAAATTATAAAAACCCCCAAAAAAGACGTTAATATATTCTTGAAAATCCGTAAGGAAAGAGCTGAAACCGTGTTAATCGCTAAAGAAAATTAGATTTTCTTGGTTTTTATACTAAATTATGAAATGGGTAAGAAATGTTTGTGCTAAAAATATTACTATAATTCTAAAAGAAAGCTTTAAGTGTAAATATAAACGTAATATAACTAAAATGGAGTTTTTAAACAGATGTAGTGATTCTAATTATAATGATTTTATTTATGTGCAAAAGTGCAAGTTTTCAATTAAAATAAAAAAAATTGCGCATGGAAATACAATTCCAAAAAAAAAAAATGTTTCAAGGACAACAGAAATGCAGTATTATGCACTTATATTAAAAGAAAATTTTAAATATGTAAACTCTATACATACATAAACGTGCACACAATGGTTTTGTCATTTTTGCAATTTCCTTGCAATAATTTCAGTCTCATACAAATGTATGTTTAGACTTATTCTATTAGTGAAAAATGGTGAGGAAAGTTAATATTTTATATTTTATTGGGAAAATGTATTTGTGTGAATATATGAAACATATTTTGTTAAATCAATTATTGTGGCGAAATTTCATAATTTTTTCAACTTAACAATTGATTATAGTATTTTTAACCAAAATTTAATAGTTATGATGACAATAATAATTTATGCAATCAGTTTTATGCATTCCCTGTACAGTTATAACGGTTTTTTTTTAACAATATAATCGAGTTAGCAGTGTATTTAATCTTCGTTTCTTAAAATGAAGTATTCCTTAAGTAATAATACTAATACTACTGCGCGATCAATAACTGTGCATATATATTCAATTTTAAACGAACTTTTATAACTGTTATTAAAATCCTGGACATTAACACCTTCCATATAGCATATTTTGACACTCAACTTCTTTTATATTTCCGCCAATATTAAAGAATCTTAACTTTTTGATATCATACACCCAAAACCATACAAACTTATATGGAGAACTATTTACCATATATCTCTCCTCATTACCAAATGTGATATAGTACCACTAGACACCACTGACAAAAAAATGTCAAAAAACATCAATTATATTGTGTAATACAGTGAATACTGGAATCCGTTAACTTACAAAAGATATCAGCAACAAAAGTGTCGACGTTTTAGAGGCAGCGGTTACTCGCACCCGAGGCACTTATATATGGCGACCAAGTAACTGTTACCATATAACAGAAATAAAAAAATTTGTAACCAATGTCGAATATCAGACAAACTGATTATTAAACCGCATCAGTAGTCAGAGTTTCAAACTACAATATCATATGACCTCATATATTCATGCACTTCACATACCTAGTACAACACAAAGAAATAAAAGGTTAAATAATGATTAAAATTAAAAAATAAACCTACTTACCAAGTATTTTCATTTTTAGTGCGATAAAAAAGTATGCTCCAGTAACAATGCGTAATTACAAGACAGCATTGATAATATTGATAATATATAATATCAATCAATATAACGATAATATTTTATATCCAAAGGAATGATTCTACAATTTATAACAGTAGTACGTCTTTAATAGGTACATAGTGCTCTATTTGAATAGTCTACTCCTCATATAGATAGATACTCGTCTTAATAAATAATACTTATTTCTTTGTAGTAAAATCCTTGGTATACCAGTGATCCCATAATCAAATTTTCATAAGACTTTCCAATCACACACACCCTTTTTAATAATATATCTTCAATAATATATCAATTGCATATTATTCTCTTCACCTTAGAATAACAACAGTAGCAATAATTTAATTGTGTTAAAAGTAGTTAAAAAATTAACAATGGCTTGGGAATTAAGCTTTAACTGGTAATCTATAAGAAATATTTTCAAGTAATATTGCAACTTCATTGTACATTTCTTAATACCTTTTAGGAATAAAATATATTTTTAATACATATTATTTTCATACAACTTTTACTGACTACATCAGCATAGGTATATAATAATATTCTATTGAGATCATATATCACATTGTAACAATTTAAACCTATTGTATCGAATAGGGTTGATTATATCAATATGCGTTGGAAGTGTGCCCAAAACCCAAAAGATTTTTCGTTTTTTTTCCTATCTAATCTATTTTGTAGAGATCTAGTGATTTCAGATTTTCAGATAAATTCATAAGTTATTTGTCACTGCAGTGTTGAATAAGTTTAGGTTTTAAAAAATATGCACATAATTTATATTCAGTTTGGAGCCTCATCTGACCATTTCATTACTTATTTAGTTATCTTCAATATCTATATGTCCATAAACTCAAGAAAAAGTAACATTTTGATGTTCATGACGTTCAGTAATGATGCGCCACATTTTATTACAATCGTCGATTTGGCCGTTTTGTGTTCGATTGTTCTCATAGCTGACTGAAAGCCGAGGATAGCGATAATGACTCTCATCTGCATAGATAGTGATTATCATCTGCATAGATAGTAACTATCATCTACATAGATAATAACTATCATCTACACAGATAGTGACTGTCATCTAAATAGATAGTGATTGTCATCTTACATAGGCAGTGACTGTCATGTACATAGACAGTGGCTATCATCTATATAGATAGTGACTTATCGACTGCCTATGTAGGTAGTGACTATCTTCTACATAGGCGGTAACAATCATCGATATGGGTAATGACTATCATCTATATCGACGTAAATGGTGACTATTTATATATAGGGTGACTATATACATTAAAAGTGACTATCTATATTTATAATGAATTCTTTTTAAAGTGCATTGTCTTGTTCTCAAAATCAGTACCAGTACCAGGAAGTGGGTATGACTATCCTACCTCGTACCAACTCTGCATAGTTTTATTGTGACAAAGTATAAGAAATTTCATAGAGGTGATATAAATATCAGTGACCCATTTTATAAATAGCTCCAACTTTTATTTGCATTTTTTTAGCTTCGATCATTCAATTGGTTGATTAATGGAATCATTAAATATTAATATTAATTTATTATTTTATTATATAATTGTCTAAAAAAATTACCATATTTTTTTTTTATTTTGATACTTCTTGCTAACATTTCTAACGTAAGTCTCATAGTAATTATTAATATATATAGCTACACTAATAAATTCTGAAAATGAGTACAATTTTCATATATTGGATAATCTAGAAATAAAATATAATACTTTCATTTAATAGAAACTTATGATGTTTTTTGCAGGCTTTATTTACAACTTCGAAGAATTTTATATTTATTTGAAGAGTAAAAATTTTTCAAATGAAATATCAATTCTCAAATAAACTCAACGTTTTGTATAAATCCGCAGTAAATCAGATAACTTTGAAAATACATTAAAATTGAAACTGTTGAAATTGTTGTAACAAAATAAATATCCAAACTGTTGGCTTTAAAGCAACGTGGCTGAAGCACCAAAGCAGTCAAAAGCTGACGTAAGTAGAGCTGCCCGCCAAGACCATGCCAGCAGCTCAAAGCCATGTTAAATGTTATATCAAATTTTACCCAACAAATTTTGATTTTATTTGCATTTTTCTTTTTTTTCGTTTTCATAAAAACATTCAAAACAGATATATATATATATAAATATATTGCACTTCTTTTTTTTTCTCAAACGAAATTCTAGAATTTTGCTTTATTTTTTTCTTTTATAAATTTTTTTAGTCATAAACACATTTAACTTTTTAGTTCAACCAGTAACCATATACGATTTGTGTTCCTCTTTAATTTAACAATTATATTATTTTTATTAGAAATTACATTTTTAATACAAAGAAATAACTTAACCACACCTATTGATATTAATTTTCTATTAAAAAAGTTTCACCCACAGGCGATGCCTTCTGCTATAGGTGGTACTGGACACGGTCCAGCCGGTACACATAACATTAATATACCAAGCAATGAAGAATGTGGCATACGAGATGTTTGGAAACATAATCTTGATGAGGAATTTCGTACCATAAGAAAAATCGTACAAAAGTATCATTATGTAGCGATGGATACAGAATTTCCAGGAGTAGTAGCGAGACCAGTAGGTGAATTTCGATCAACAGCCGACTACCATTATCAGCTTTTACGTTGCAATGTTGATTTATTACGTATAATACAACTAGGACTTACATTTATGGATGATGAGGGTAAAACACCACCAGGATACTCAACATGGCAATTTAATTTTAAATTTAATTTAAGGTACATTATAATTATTAATAATTTAAGTTATATATAAAAAGGCGTAGCCAAGGGTGGCTAAAACTGTGCCCGAAGTAATATTTCTTAACATAAACAAAGTAACGTATGTACATATATATGTGCTACGGATGACTATCTCGGAATTACGCCCTTGTTTATAACCCTAAAATCTAAAGATTAATCGAATTATGCAATTCGAGGTTTCATTTGTTCAGAGAAGATATAGAATCCCCAAAAGAAATTTGAATTAAAATAATCTAAAAGTCATTTACCAATTACAATAGTTTTGTAATAATAATTTTGTTTTTTAACGGGCTAATTGGTCAGTAGTTAAATAATATACTTTTAAAAAAAATTTGTTTTGTTTTTTAAAAGATTTTATTTAAACCGATATTTCGACTATATTATATAATCATCATCAGGGCACATTGTACCGATATTTTCACTATATTCTATAGTCATCATCAGGTACATAGAGCCCTGATGATGAACATAGTGCATCAGGTACATAGTACATCAGGTTCATAATACATGAAGTAGTTAGTAGATCAGGTACATAGTACATCAAGTATATAGTACCCCAATGAAGACTGTAGAATAAAGTCGAAATATTGGTTCAAATAAAATCTTCAAGTTTTGCAAAATATTGTGCAGTAATGATTGGATTATAGTTATATGAGTTGTGTATAGTATGAAATTGATATTGCAGCGTAAAAGTTATTTTCATCAGCAGGTTACATATGTAATAGATTTCGATTCCGATTTGAGTATTCCTAATATTGCTTTATATACGTATTCTTTAAGATATTGTTTTTTAAACATATTAATCAGTATTCATATGACTATAATTTAAAGTGTTTGAAGATAACTAACTTACAGAATATTTCATATATATTTATTATATTTATATTAATTATATATATATTTACTATATATATATATATATATTTATTGTATATATATATATATTTATTGCATATATATTTATGTATTACTATCTTCCATTACCGGCTCCCCGAGATTAATTTGAAATCTCCTGGAAATATCGGTTTTCCCAAAAGTATTGTAAATTAACATTATTAGTATACAGGTTATAGGCTATATTTTTAGTAAATAATTAAATATTTACTTTATTGTTTATTTTATTACAATATTTTTTTCTCATTTTGGAATTCTGAAATAATTTTAAAAATTCCGGTATTGCCAGGATACCAGGCTATGTAAATAAATCGATGGAATTGAATTGATAACATTAACCTTTGGCCTCCCTTTCCTGGCTACGCCAATGTCAAATGTTAAAATATAAAATAATTGTTAGATAATTTATTTTTCAGTGAGGATATGTACGCTCAAGATTCAATTGACTTACTACAAAATTCAGGCATACAATTCAAAAAGCACGAAGAGGATGGCATTGATCCATTAGATTTTGCGGAGCTGCTTATGTCATCTGGAATTGTATTAATGGAAAATATAAAATGGCTTTGTTTTCACTCTGGCTACGATTTCGGATATTTACTAAAACTATTAACTGATCAAAATTTACCATCAGACGAAAGTGAATTTTTTGATCTTTTGCGATTATATTTTCCAAATATATACGATATTAAATATTTAATGAAATCTTGCAAGAACTTAAAAGGTGGCCTGCAAGAGGTTGCCGATCAATTAGAACTACGCCGTGTAGGGCCACAACATCAAGCGGGATCTGATGCGCTGTTGACTGGAATGGCATTCTTTAAAATGCGTGAGGTACACAATATAAAAGCTAATTTAGAATATTTAAGTAAAGAGAATTCAGTTATTTTTCACACCATCATTGAATGTAACAACAATAATCCTAATAATTCTATTAATGATGAGTAACTAACATTGTTTTTTTTTTTTGCTTTATATTAAATTAAATGCAAAATTATCATTTTCATAATATCCTTAACTTGCATTCAAAATCCTCATGCACTTTTCTTTTTTTTTTTTCAATTAATATTCAAAGCATATTTTAAAAAATTGCACTTTTGCGCTTTTATGAACTTCTGAATGAATTGGATTTTAAGAGCACGAATAACGTTAATTTTTAATTTGCCAAAATATTTAATTCGTAATTTAAATATGTGATATTATACTATATATATTTAATTGCAATTATTTAACAAAATTATAATAAATATATGTGTATATTATCATTAGCTATTAAGACCATCAAATTTAAAATTGTATATATTTTTATTATTTTTTTAATTAATCATTAGTGATTTATTTAGTGAATTTAATTAGTTTAATTTTTTTTTAATAATGTTCATTTTATATTTTGCTATGTATGTTTACAGAATTAAATTGCAATTTGGATTTTTAAAAAATTTACAATTTTGTGGGTGTTTTTTTTATTTTATTTTTTTTTTTTTTAAATATCATATTTTATCAATAAATAATGTAGTAGCTTTTATTACTGTTTTAATAAGGGTAGCTGAGTAGATTAGTAGGAAATGTACACAATATTGTATTAAATGATTGATTTAAAATTTTAAAAATGATAATATTATTATACATTAGCTTATCAGTTGACATAATTATTTTCTTATAGATTTCCATATAATTACAAAAATAGAATACAAAATCTCAAAAAGTAATAATTTTAATATAGATATTTAAGAAGAAGAAAATATTATTTGAATACGAGGAGTAACCGTTAACTCGAGCATTGAACTCGGTAATCGAATAACTACATTGAGTGCGTGGAGAGCGGTTTACGATAACAAAATCCGTAGAAGTTTGAAAATAAAACTGCATAGCAAAATTAAAACATATTCTAAGAGCGCAAGATATGAGAACCAGCAAAGAAAAAAATATTGTCAGAAAAATATTGTAAAATAATAACATGGCAAAGTTAAATATTTTTTAACTAAAAGCTATAGCAGCAGCGGGAACCTCAGCTGCACATCTGTTAGTAAACAGTGGTTGGTTTCACTGTATACACGCGGTAAATTGGTTCCGCGTTATAGGAGTATTCCCATATACCCCATATACACACGTGTAGAGGAACGTGTAGCTAATTATGAACTGTACAAATTCCCGCGTTATAAGGGCCGAATGCCCGATTATACGGGGGATTACTGTATTAATTTTTGACAGCTCGTTCGAAAGCTACGTTGTGTTCACGTAGCTACCGAACGAACTCGTTATTTAAGATCGTGATCGTACCTAGTCTTTGTATCTAATCTATTATTATTAATTAGTATTAAAAATATTCTAATAGATGTGATTTTTATTTTTACTTCAATTAAATTGAAATGTAAATTTTTCTAAAAATTATAATTATATAAATTATTTGTTTAAACTTTTTTCTATTATTGTAATTGTAATATAATTATAATTTATAAGTATAATAGATAAAATAATCATTTTTGCTTTTAATGAAATGGAAATGTTTATTTTTCTAACATTTATAACTGTAAAAAATTTTATATTTTATTTTATAAATTTTAAGTTTTTTAACACATAAAATTATACATATTAATTTGTGTTAAATATTTTAATTAACTGTAATGTAAATATTTTTTTAAAAAATTAGAATATAATTGAAATATTTAACACAAATTAATAAGTGTAATTTTTTATAATTCTATATGTTAAATAAACGACCTAAGCCCGGTAATAATCAAAAAACTTATTGTAAATTGGTCGTAATAACAATTAATTAATATATAAAATTATATATTTCAAATGTTTTCCTAGTAATAGGGATATTCAAACTGACCCTAGTAATTGATAATCTTTCAAGTGCAATTTGTTATTAACATTACCGCATACGAACAGATAAATCAACCTCAACATTATTATAAACACTGTAATTATTATTTTAAAGAAAACTTATTTTTCATAACAAAATATTATTTTTATTATTAGTGTCATTTTAATGAAAAAATATTTAGTTAATTTTAATATTTTATAATTGTTTAAAATGTTTTTAAAAAAACCATGTTATAAATTTATTTTTTATTATTAAAAATTTTGTAACAGTATTTTAATCGATTGTATTATTTTGAATTGAAACATAAAATCAGACCAAATTTTATATGTTAATTGTATTTTAATTTGAAATTAAATATACTCAAATATTGTTTCAACAAAAAAAATTAAATAATTTAAATGTTATAAATATAAGCGAAAAATGGATAATTTTAAAAACATATATAAAACACATTAGTAGTAGTCACGATCTATATAATCGAGTTAAATAGTATTTCTGTAGTTTACAACTGTAATCTGTTGTTGTCGCTGGGGCTATGTTGCTGTTTTACTCGAGCTCGTTACTTAATATCGTGAATACCACTAAATTTTTTATAGTAGAAATTCAAATTATTTGTGATATAAAATAAGGAATTATAAGTGTAAATAAATATCATAATGAAATTTAAAAGACATTGTGTTTTATTTTTGTTTTTAAAATTATTTAAATGTTTATTAAGCAAAATAAAAAATTGTAAAATAATTTTTTGTAATACATTTATTATAGTAAAGTTTTAATCTAGTATTGTTTATAAATAACTATTCTTATGTAACATATTATGCGTTATTAAAAAATATTAATAAGGGAAATAAATAGAAGTATAGTGTTATGAATTGCATTATGTGTACATTATAGAAGTGTATAATTAATAAGGAAAATAAGTAGGAGTGAATAGAAAATTTAATATAACATCATTAATTTATTTGTGTTCTATCAAGCTGTAGGTGAAATATAATTAAAATAAAAAATAAAAAAAAATTGATATTTAATAGCTGTTAGTATAAGAATATATTCATTTTTATATATTTGAATTTATTTTATTTAAATTTTTTTTATATATTTAAATAAATGAATTAACATCACATATCAATATTTATAAATATAAAATTTAATAAATTTAAATAATATATAAATTAATCAATAGTACATTAAAAGGTAAATAACTTTTAATTAATTTTAGACTGCATTTATTTCAATTTTAATATAAATAAATTATTATATTGAATAATTGTTAATATATTATTTAATTAATAGTATATTAAGAGATATATATTTGAATATATTTAAAATTTAACTTATTTTAAATTTCAATATAACTAATATAAAACATTAATTTTAATACATTTATAATAACAATAACAATCAACACAACATATATAAAAATAATATACATTTTGCAAATAATTTAATTAAAAAAAATACAATAATACACTATTTAAATAATAATGTGATAAGAAATACATATAAATTTTAATACAATTAAATTGAAACAGTACTTTTCATACAATTAAATTTAATAAAACTATATGTTAATCAATAAATAATGTATTGAAAAAATATAAACTTTAATATATTTACAATTTAATATATAATTGAATATATATAAATTAAAACAGTACATGCTACTGTTACATATAATTACATACTGTTACATAAATTAAAACAATATTATTAATGATGCAGTATAACATATTTATAGTATTATAAATATATATGTTAATGTTAATTTCATAATGTAATATAAAACAATTGCTTGAAAACTGTGATATTTAGAATATATTTAAACTAATAATTTGAATATTAATGAATTATTTTATAAAAAATATGTCTTGTAATAATTTAAATTTCAAAACTTTTTAAAAGAAAATAACATATATATATTAAACTTTATTTATATTGTGTAAATACTTATGAGAGTAGTTGGAGATATAAATAACATTTATAATCTTTAATTTCCTTTTTTTAAAAACTATGAATTCTTAAGATTTCTTCCTCAAATTTTATTTTATTAAAACTAAATAAAAACGAATAAAAGGTGTTTAAAGATCATAGCTTAGTTTTAAGTTTTGTTATATCTCTAATTGGTCATATAAGCATATACATTTATAAATAAAATTACTTATGTTACAAAATATATTTATTTTAGAATTATTCTCATTTTTGTAATATAATTCTATTTTTGTAATCTGTATTTATTTATTTAAAAATTTTTTAAAATAATATTGCTGATTAGAATTTCGGAAGAATGTTTATAATAATTTTAATAATTGTTAGATTTGCAATTAACTTCTTGAAAACTTATTTATTTACTATAAATTTATTTTAAAAAATTAACATATTTATGTATAAAATTAGAGAATGCTTACAAAACTGGTGAAAGTTATTAATTTTTTTATCATAATTTTGCATCTTCTTTTTAAAAATATTTTTGCTTAATTCTATTATTTTTTTCATAATTAATAAATTCCATATATCCATTTGTAGTTGTTGCATTGCCGTTTTGTCTTAAATTTTGTGATGTGCATTGGTTTGTAGTTTTTAAGTTCAATTGTATACACACAATATCACTTTTCCTGAAACAGTTTAACATAGTTAAGATTCTTCCCTCATTTTGGGTTAAAAAATAAGTAATAATTTAAAGAAACAATGAATAAATTAGGAAAAAACAATATGCTATGTTTTAGATGTTTTTCGAGGACAATATTGACAACGCTAAATACTGCGGCCACCTTTATGGCTTGGGAACATCCTTCATCGTTAATGGGACGAACTTTCACGAGAGTAATGGTGAAAATAATAGTGCAACGTGATTCATAATTTTAAAAGGGACAGCTAACACGACAAAGGTGATTAGATAAATAATATCGAGACGAGAAGTTTTGGACTGCGATGCAAGTGCAACAATAATTACCGCAAGAACAACAATTTAATACTAAAGTTTTATATTATTTAACTTTCCTTTTTTGCTATTGACAGTTTAAAAACATAAACTCTATTTATTTTGCTAAACCGTTTTAATCTTACATTTATATAAACACAAATTTTAACTAAATTATATTTACATGCATGTACACTCTTAGTAACAATATAAAAAATTTTAATTTTCTGTCTATGATTAAGTCCAATAACAATATAAAAAAAAATTCGAAAATAAAAAAAATTAAGTTTATGTGTAAGCAACAAATAAATATATATATGTATATGTACTTTAAAAAATCTGTTTTTAATTCAAAATCTTGTTTGAGACGACCAACGATAAACCTAGAGACACTATGTGAGTTTAAGAATTTAATTAGTTAACTTTTATTACAATTTAACAAAGCTATCAGATAAAAAACGTTATATTCTTATATGATAATATTTATCATATATTTAATTATTTTACATAATAATATATTATAAACATAATTCCAAGTTACTTATTACTATAAATTACTCGTTATAGAATCGAATTTATTTAATTATTTCGAAGCTATTTGGTTTAAAGCTTATTGGTATTGGAAATAATTAAAAATATTAAATTTAATATAAATTATATATTCGTAGAAAGACAGAGCAATTTTATTTTTTTATTTTTAAAAAAGATTTTTATATCGCATAAATGAAGCATATAAGTGTATACATTTTTTAAAGATTTATTTATAAACTATAAAAAAACTTTTAACTTGTGGCGACTTCTAGCTAATACGGTACAAATTTATTCTCAAAAGTTTTTATTTTGCGATTTGATTATGTACGTTAAATTGCGAAATATTATATAGATCCTCCTCTAGATATTATTATAACAAACTCAAGTAATTCGAGCTTACGGATCAAACGACTTCGAAAATAAAAAATGTTTGATTTACTGATTATTTCATTTTATTTTTTTTTTATATAAAATAAGTTCATTTAAAACACAAATAATTGAGCAAAATTATTTCAAGTAAATAAAGGATCTCCAGGAGGTGTCTTTTTTAAATTTAAATTAAGCACTATTATGGATTAAATCGTCAATATAATATTAAATACAATATAATAAAATATGATATATAGTGTAATAGAATATAATACAAAATAACACATTAACACTATTGTTTTAAGATATACTGCATAGCTTATTTAAAAAGTCTCTCTATACATTTACTTTGTATGTGCAACATATGATGTTTAATTAATCTTTAGTTTTAAACACAGTTTATATCACAAAATAACATATTCACCTCTTTTGTACGTAATTAAAAAAAGCCCAAATGACTGCGGCATTGAATTTAACATTTAAGAATTCATTTATGATACATCGATGCTATTGCTGGATCTTCTGTTTCATATATGATTAAAACATCTCGAAATTTATCTAACAACTGCAATAACTGAGAACGTCTCAGGTTTTCAAAATACATTATTTCTTCGAGATGATGTTCACTTTTAAAATAACCCGCTTGATAGAGTTTTACTAGGAGAGATAAATCGTCCAAATTCATGTAAGCAGGTATACGCGTGATAATATCGCGATCAGATTTATCAAACGCTTGCAACAGTTCTTTTATTTTAACTTCATCCTCAATGGAACCAATACTATCACAATTTTCTGTGCTCAGAGAAGCAGTCATACTTAAATTTTACAATTAAAATTTTTATTAATTTTTTTTTATAACGTATATATATTATTTTACCTAAAAGTACTTACCTAAAATTAGATTTATGACTTGATGAAGGCTGCGCAGCAATATTATCAGAAGCAGTAGAACCACATACCGAAAAATGATCTTCGGTAATAGAACGATGACTCGTTTGAGGTACGGGTAAAGGTTGACTTGACATACTTAATAATGAACCGGGATTACTATAATATAATAAAAAAAAATAGATTTTATTTTATTTAAATATTTTTTTTAACCAACTTACAGTTCCTCATCACTGACATTACCACTTCGTGTACTTAACATAAAATCTTCATTTTCAACAGCTGACGCGATTCCATCGTGCAATTCCATTAAAGATGAATTATCCATATCATCAACATCGGCATCAATGTCGTCTAAATCACCGGGCATAAACTGCACGTAAGTATGTAGTTGTAAGAGTAAATGATGTTGCAACATCCACAGTACCATTTGTGCCAGTATACCTTGTCTTGCTGGTTGTTGTAGTGGTGTAGTTAAATGACCGATAGAAGTTGGTAATGAGAAATCTGATATTACTTCGAACAACGACATGCCTGCAAATCTTGTAGAGAATTTCTCCACTAAATGAGACTTGGTATGCAATGGTGCATCAGGTGCTATAACATAAACATTTGTTTCGCAAAGTGGGTATATAATTGTGGCTTTCGCCCAGTAAACTAAATGTGATACAAGTTTGTAAACGTGTTCAATGCTTAAGTCAGCATCTGATGCCATGCTCTGTAAACTCATAAGTGGTGTGTACACCTCAACTAATTGCATCAACATACGTGCTCCAGATGGTGGCACACAATCAAGTAGTTCAACGAAATCAACCAGGAGCAACATGCCATGATAGGGTTTTAGTGAACGCAAGCAGATATCAATTGTCTCTGGATCAACCATACTACATTTTTTATGTAATTGATGCGCTTTTTGTGGTAAGCAAAAACTTAATGTGAGATTTTGGTTGAGAGTCGTAGTTAGGAGCCCAGTTGTGCACAAATCATGATAAATCGATTTTAGTGATTGTGCCAAACTACAATGCTCGGAAATTGTTTCAAATGCACGCTCCAAAGGCTGTTGCTGTGAAGAGATTTCGTCATGTGTGCGTGCCATTTGCAATATCTCTTCCGTAACATATCCTATTCGCTGTTCCTCAACTTTTAAAGCTAATCCAAGCCGTTTACTTAGCTCATAATAGCATTTAACTATTGAATAACTAGCTTGGGCATGTAATGCGAAAACAATATTAATTAACATTTGTGGTTGTTGTTTTACAACATTAGTTGCTGGTATTACGCTGTTTACAATATTCGTGGCTTGTGTGTTAACTGTCGAGGTAATATTTTGTCTATCTTTTCGTTGTATTAATGTAGGATGACTAACGAAACGTATGTCATTTACTTTTAGTTCGAACTTTTGATTGCACAACTTTTGTTTTACTGCAAATAGGGTCGAAAGTACCTCATCTGAAAAACCTTTACATACCATTGATTTTGGTATATTATAAGGTGGCGTTTGCAATAAGTCATCTGGATTATTTATTGAATATGGGTTACGCTTTTTTATTTCCTGAGCAGCTGCTACCGTACTCGCCGAAATACCATTTTTTCCAATGTTTTGATAAGGATATCGGAAAAGTAAGCGATCACCTTTGCTATCCATATAAACTAAAATGACTGCTATAGGATTGACTTCCATTTTTCAATATTTGAGTAACATTACAATCTTTTAAATGAATATGAATAAATTTCACAAACGTAAACATCGACGACCACCGCACTGATAATATAAATTTGTAAATAAAAGCAAAGTGTGCATTATTTTGCGTGGATTTACAAATGTTTCACTTGCAAATGTCAAAAACCGATAAAATCGAATTCTTCACAGAAAAGTTATCGTTGTATAAATGGCAACAAATATATATAATATTTAATTAATAGAATATATAATTTTTCTGCATGCAAGCAGTTATCGAATACCACAGTTAATGAACACCACGTTTATGAGTAAATAAAATTTAAGGACCAAATATATTACTAATTTACATGCACTTAAACATATCGCATACGTAAATCACGCAAGTCTAATAACTTGTATTAAGACGTCACTGTAAACACTTTTGAAAAAACAAAACATAACTTTGTTGATAACAAAATATCATCAAAATTTGTAAAAAAAACTTTGTTTTTAAAAAAATGTATTTTTAAAGATTTTAAAATTAATTTTTAAAGATTTTAAAATTGATTTTTAGAGTTTTTAAAATTGATTTCAAATAACGCGTAAATAGAGTAATAGAGACATAATTATTATTCATATTAAAATATAGAAAAAAATAATTGAAAGCGCAACATTTAAAAACAAGTTACTGCTTAATTAAATAACTACAATCATAAATAACTATGATGATAGTTCAATAATATAATTTGTCAAACGTTTTTAATATATACTTTTTTAAATTCAAATACCATTCCTATCTTATATATTTACAAATATTTTAAATTTTACATTGTGTTTTTTTTACTACAGTTGAACAACAAATTATACTGAAATTAATTAAGAGATAGCTTTTTCAGCTTCCGTCAAATCATAAGTAAGCCAATTACAGATTTTTCATAAACCCTAGCATTTATGATTATCATCCGTTCATCATTATTTCACTTTGATGGTTAACCGATGATTACATATGATTATTTTTTATCATAATAAGAAATTGGTGAAATACTAATACAACTATATTTCAATATTTTAATTCCGATTTTAATGTAACAAATAATTATTTATTAATTTTTGTGAATTAGAGTTTTTTTTATATATATTAAACATTTTATATAATATCATAAATAATTTTGTATAGGGAATTTCATTTTTAACATGTTATTATATTTGTACTCTATAGTACAATAGAAAAATACTTTTTTTTTATAAAATTTCCACTACGATTTTTTATTTCCTAAATTAAAATATAATATGTAACTCATGTTCGGATTCAAGAAAAACCTACTTTTTGTTTTTGCTATTTTTTTGTAAGTTTGTAATACAATTTTAAGAAACCGATTCAAAATAGATCTGGTAAATACAATACATAATAAACTGTCGAAAAATCAACACTGTTATAAAGTTATAATTAATAACTCTATGATGAAATAATTATACATAATTCAGCATAAAAAGCGTTTTAATAATAACATTCAGAATCTTCACAATTTTTTTTAACATGTTAAATATGTTTAATTTTTGACACAATCATCAAAATTAAACATATTATAGTACAATCATGGAGGCATTATTTTGCCTTTAATATTCATTAAAGTTTTTAATAGGCAATAATCGCAATCCAGTAGAGCTTCATTGATTACGAAATATAATGAAATTTGTTTATTTTACATTCCTAAGATTTGGTTTAAGCGGGTTTAAGTCTTATATTTGGGTTTTGATGTTATGTACTCAGTCAAAAAAAAAAAGTTTTTAAAGGTTTTTTAAAAAATTTGTGGAACGATATTATTTAATCAATTATTTTTTGTTGTTCAAAATTGCTTAAGACTGTAAATAGACCAATAATATATGATAACAAAACTTTTTATATTAATATTTCAAGAATAAATGATAGCATTTTAATGCTATCTTGAAATGCTACTATAATAGCACACAACACATAGGATTTGGCAAATTAGATTTAGTATGTTAAATGTCGGAAAAATTTTTTATATGTGATATATATAATAGCACATAAAAATATAATCATGAAAATCTTATTACAATATATTTGTTTTGGCATGCGTATGTTCAATATACGTTCATAATTTACGAACAATTTTCGATCTGTCAAATGTCAAAGATTTTCCGAACACAGTAAGTTTCCAACTTCGTTTTATTGGGATTTGCACAAGTTTGCTATCGCCGCCATTAATTCAATATGAGACACAGCAAAGTAAGCTATTTGCTTCACGGGTGAGCGTGTTAAACGCTAAAAAAATAAATATAAAGTGTGTAAAGTTGAAGCTATTAATAAATATTTTGTGGTAAATCAAAAGTTTAATATTAAATTAAAGTTTGTGAACAAAATTATTTGGTTTTGCTACGCATATTAAAATTGATGAAAACAACCAAAAAACTAAAATATAAAATTAAGTTTAATAAGTGCAAGTGGGATAGATATCTTAAATATAAGTATATTATGGAAGGTGTAAAGATAATTTTAACATTCCGTAAAATTTAAACTTCAATATAAAAATAGTTATAACAATTGTCGGTATTTGCAAATAGATGCATAGTTCTTAGAAGAAAAAAACATTAAATTAACAATAAACTTGATAGATTAAAGATTTTAAAAACATTAATTTTTGCATTAATATAACAATAAATTGTTTTTTATTGCAACTGTAAAAAGTGAGGCTTTTTATATCTATTATATTTGTACATATAAACAGCCTGACATGTTTAAATATATATATACTTATATTTTTAAAAATGTGTATTGTCTAGAGTAAAAAAAAAAATATAAAATCGAATCAAAACTAGATGAAAAGTTTACAGTCTCTACTTCCACATTGTATGCAAACTTTAGTTTCTGTTTTCTTTAACTAGAAAATGTTAATTTGTTAACAAACGAGTGATTTATAAATATCGGGTGAAAAAATATATTGGAAATATTGAAAAAACCTACATTTGTATAGTGGAACTAAAGGTAAAGTAAACATATTTGCATATATCTATACTATAGTTTTTAATTAAACAATATTTGTAAAAACAATCTAACAAATAATAATATTTTCTTTTAATTTAAAATATTTTAAGGAAAAGATCTATATGAAGATTTTCAATAATATTTTCATAATTGTGTCTTGTTTTTTATTTGGTCGCCATATTTAATTTTGATTTGCTTATCTCTCTTTCATCGATTTCTTTTTGGTATAAAAATAAAAATGGCGTCCACATTTCGCTTCAACATGCAAATGTATTGAAGTTGTTGCATTGGTGTGTGCAATATTGTTCCTATTTATTGCTATACGCCAATAGTTGTTTTTCTTTTAATTCCCTTTTAAACTTAGTTAAGTTGGGATTTATAGAACTCCAAACGTTTATGGTGTTGCCATAAATAAAATATATTTTAATATGTAAAATGAAATAAATACAGTTGTCTTACTATATATTTATATTGCTTATAATACACTTTTAGAATAAGTACAGCAAGTTTTACATGTGAATTAAAATAATATATATGTGATGTGCTGCATATTGTGTTAGTAAAATAGTTTCTAAAATATTCTCAACTAGCAGATTATTGACATGCCTACACTATTTTTGATTTCTAGGTACATGTGTAAACTGACATGCGCATATTATGAAAATACTAAAGAAGTATAAATGGGAATATTGTTGTTCACATACTATAGTTAAGCCATTGCAGTATTATTATGTAATATTATTAACCACAAAACATTTTGCATTTTTTAGTTTAATATTTTTAATTCTTAGTTTTTACGACGTAATTTTGTTTTGGTTTATTCTCTTTTTAACTTTCATACTTAATTTAAGGCTGCCATATTGAAATTTAGTTTTGCTTTAAAGAAACTATAGTGATAGAATAGGATGACAATATTAATATATTTTTGTGATTTTGTTTTAAATTTTCTATATTTTGTGTATTTTCTTTTACTCTATACGCAGTTAAGTTAGCTGTTTAAAACTTTTAATATTGGTGTTGTCTCTTTCTTATATTAGTATATTGGATTCCTAAATGAAATATATACGTCTCTTACTATATTTTACATAAAATTTTCTGGTTTACATCTAATTTTTATGTAGTTTGTTTTAAAAACGAAAGCAAAAGTTGAAGAACTGGTTTTTTTTCGCCGATTTAGGAAAAAAAAAACTAGTGGAATGAATTATTGAAAGCTATTTTGCAAAAGGGTTGCCAATTTTACGTACAGGCGCATACAAAAATTATTAGAGGAATCTAATGAATGAAGAAGCACAGAAAAAGAAAAAGGGATTGGCAAACGCTAATATTTTTGTGTATACGAGTATAAATATACGGTCGTGGTATTCAATATATTTAATTCGAGTATAGATACAGTCAATATAATATCAAAGTCAGAAAAATTTATTATTTATAGATTAGTTGAGAATTCTTTTCGTACATATATTTTTAAATGTCATTCATTTTTATTATTGAGATATAGTTTATATTATATATCAATTTTATTAGAAGATTAAGGTTGCTCGTAATCAAAATTGTATAAATAATAACAATTTTTTCTTAAGTAAGTGCATAAGCACGCTGTGTGATATAAAGTAGATATATATTTTCTTCTTTGATACATAAAATGCACCAATTGCAATTGTTATACCTTAGAGCGCTTCATTAAAAATTATATTAGATTACTGAATTCATTAGAAGTTCAAAATTATAAAGCAACTTAACTTTTGTTTTTTTTTACATATACAAAAATTTGCTTATGGTTAAATAATAGAATGTTACTCATAAAAGGAGAATAAAAAAAATTACAACTTTTCTGCTTTATAAAATTTTATATGAATAATTCAGTAATTATTTTATTATAAACAAATAAGCGTCTTAAACAAATGTACAATATTTCAATATGTATATTTATCTACATTCATGCATGCAAGAAAAAAAAATTAGATAAAACATCGTCTAAGCTCAAACGAATCTACATTGGCGCGAAGCAAAAGTCACTACAAAAAAGTGTAATTTCAAAATAAATGAGACGCAATTTGATTATAATAAAAAAAAGCAAAATATATTTATACAATGCTCAAAACTAAAGCACATCTATTTGCAAAGCTAAAGTAAGCAAGCAAGTCGCATATAATTTCATGTATCTGTACAGAAGGAAGCAAGAGAATTTGAACACATTAACTTAAATTGCACAGACACACCAAAACCAAACAGTTTTGAACACAAACCTATTCTAATATTTGCATGAGTTTTGTATTGAAAATTAAGCTTGTAAAAACAAGACGCTGTTCCCTTCCCCTAGCACTTTTTACCTATACTTTTGACATACTCTGTGTTGTGTTATGTGATTTGCTGGATTGGATTGTATTGAATAAAAAGGCGAATATATTTACCGCCATGAATTAATTTGAAAAGCTGGAGGGTGAAGGGGCAAATGTAGGTACACATAAGCTTTAAATGCCATAGGCCGTTTACAAGCCTTGAATATTTTCAAATATACATATAAGTTCTCTATGCATAGCAGTGACGTCGTAAGGATGGCTAGAACCCAATATATTTCATTTGTATATTTTATTTCAACCAAGGTAACTTCAAAGCAAAACATTATATTTACTCTGTTATTTATGAATAAATATACTACGAGTAATATATATTTGTTGTTTTAAATAAATATATGATATTCTTAAGTAAATTTAATTTTTAAAACAATATATGTTTTTTTTAATGTCTTAAATCTTATTTTGTATAAAATTAAAGATAAGAAAATGGTGACGTCTTGGAGATTGTTATCTCAAAGTCTTCTTTTTAATGTCTTAAAAAAGTATATAAAAGATATTACTTACTAGTCTATTTTTCACATGTTATAATTTTCTCGAAAGAGGTTGATGACGTCTTGGAGTTTACTATCTCAATGACAATTTTTTTTTGTATATTTAAATATGGACTAATTAACCTAGCCCGTTAAAAAACAAAATGATTATTAATAATATTTGGTCATTAAAACAATAAATTATTAATTTTGTCTGATCAAATGTTAGTTCCATTCTACGGTTCTTATGTTTAAATTTGAAATCCAAAAATTGTATTATTTTTTAAATACAGTCTTCAACAAGCTTTTTATCAAACTGCTATCATTTCATTTCATTATTTACTACTTTTTAATGTTACTGTAATAATTTAGTTACCTATTTATATTATACTCTCAACGTAAGTTGTTTATTAAAACCATGTTTATTAAAAAGATCTAATAATGATAATGTAGGTATAATATATAATATGCCGATATTGCTATATTATTCCGATATAATTTTTGTACTGACGGTCAGTAACCATCATGTTAAAACTGATTGCAGAGATACTATAATAAGCTAGTTAAATAATATAGTATCCATGTCATTGGTATAAGGTTACACTTCAAATCACTGCAATGAAATGATTGATTCACAAGCTAGAAAATCATTCAGAGGAATAAATTAACATTAAAAGTTCTTTAAAGAATAAATAAAACACTTTTAGAGTATTAGAATATTATCGTTCCATAATAAAAATTACCCAATAAAAATTGCCCAATAACTGAATAAAGCTTACACTGAAACGAAAATGCAGTTGGATAATTTTATAGCGATTTTTACCCTTTGGAGTCTAAAAAGATTCATATATCTTTTAGGGTATCTACTTATTCAGAAAAATTTAACATAACTTAATATCCAAAAAATTTATACAGACAGTGTTTGCTTTTTATTTTACTCTTTTGTCTTATTTAAAGTGATATGCTACTTACACTAATTTAAGCTGAAACTTATAATATATATCATTTAATATAATAAGTTTAGATCTAATAAAAATTGTGATATATACATTTATTAAACAGATCTAATTGATTTGTATCCAATCTAATTGGTTTAAGGTCGACCTAATTAGTTTTGGTCAGACCTAACTTATTACAATCAGATTTAAATTACTTGATGTAGATTAAAGTTAGTAAGAAAAAGAAAAAAATAATATAAATCGATTATTGTAATAAATCAAAATGACTAATATTGGAATACTCATTTGAAATAATGTTGGTATATCAATTTATCACAATAACTCAATAATAGATTGAACAAAATGTTAATAATTAAAAAAAAAATAGATCTTGAAAACTTTTTGTATGCATAATTATAAGAGATTTTTGTCTTCGGTTAATAGATGATGTGACAATAAACTGTCAAATGAATTAATTTTGAGCTTTCTGTCATTATAGTTAAATCGGTGCGAAGTTTGTTGCAATTTTCGTCAACAACCTAGTAGTATGGGCACTCAGTTAGATCCAACTTAAATAGCAGACAGGACCATATAGATAAGAATAGATCGCTACTGGATGAAATATAGAACTGGATGTAATATAGAAACCTGTGTAGCATGATAATAATCTATTACCATTTGAATTAGTCGAAACTATAATTTATATTTGATTTGTTATGGATATTAATACTATATGATATTAATATATAGGAACATATAAATCTGCATGTATAGAATTGGCAATATTTAAAACAACTGCAATATAATATCAAAAGTAATGAATGTTTTAAATAATGAATATTCATACATTTTATATTTTTAATTTAAATAAATTATTTTAAATATTTAATGTTTTTGACGTATTGTTATTATTCTATTTACTTAGAAATTTGTGTAGAATAATGCAGACAAAATATATTATTTAATAAACAACTACTAGAGAAATACAGAAAAAAAATATTACACACATACACACATTCTTATATAAGTTTGTTTGCTTTCGTCGATAAAAAATAAATAAATCGACTATAAGATACAACTACCGCATTAGTAGCGAATAAATTGCTCTACAGCAAGTATCTATATACATAATTCAAATTCTTAATTTTCATGTACATTCTCGAAATATGTTCTTTCACTACTTTGTGAGTACTACGTCTGCCACAATGAAATCTTTTTGAGGCTTTAGGCGAACAGTTCCTATTTTGTAATAATTGATTCATTTTGTAAACATTTTTCTCTATTTATATATTATTAATTATATAAGTGATTCACTATAAGATGAAATGAATTTTTGTTTTCTTATAATTTTGAATGTATATAACATACATACATTTATTGAAACATTGAAACAATCATTTATACATTTATGAGTAAAAGCTTGTACAAATATATATTATTCCCCCCAAAGTGGTTATTTGAAGATCTACCCACTCACTAAGATTGTGAATTGGTTAATTACCTTATAGATCAACGATATTGTTTATTCTATAAGATCATTATCATTAAACTTTAACCACTATTAGGAATTCTAGCGATACTACAGTACAGTAGTATCAATATACAATATACTGATTATGTGTTCATTAAACCTTAAGCACTATTAGATATTCAAATTGTAATAATTAGGCTGCAAGCCTGGAACTTGCAGTCCAGCCTGGAACTTGCAATTCGAATATTTCCTAAGATCACTGATGATGAGTACTTGTCAATACTCGAAACAGCGTTGTGTGGTCAGCCAAATTTCAATAAATTAATCAAATTTTTTTGTTGTTTCTTTATTACTGTTTGAACCCTTTTCGTTCGTTTTCTTTTCGTTATAACACACGTCACATTCGATGAAAAAATCAACTACGATAATTGTAAAAATGCAATTTTAAGATTTTATTGCAGAATAAAAAAATAAAAATAATTTTCTCACTTTTTAGAATATTTGCTATTTTGTCATGGGTTTTTTATATACTAAATATTTACAATTCAAAGTCATTGTAACTGACTGTACTTTTTTACAAATATATACATAAATATATATTTATATATAATAAATCTTTTCTTTTATTTTATGTGTTTCTATTATTTCTACTAATATGCAGTTGTGACAGTCGTTGGTGTTGTTATTGTAGTTGTTGTTGTAAGTGCAACTTGCTCATGCAAAATTTATCTGCAAAAAGTGAATGCACTAATTTTGCCTTGCGATAGACGGTCGCAATCGTGTTCGCTGCAACTATCGTCGTTGTCAATGGTCATGTTCGTACATTAGACATATGAATATGTTTGTATATATATATTATACAAAGCTATAATTTTACTAATATTGCTATTTATTGCACTAAAATTTATTGTAAATTGCAACTTACGTACAATACAATAGAAAGAAGTTTGTCATTTAAGTTGCTCATACTCATATTTCAATAGTCGGCAGTCAGTCAGAATAATGTTATGATAAATACTATATTATAATTACACTACATCTTATATTCTAGTAGAATTTACTATTATAATTTGGGTATAAATATGCCTACATATGCAGTGCATTGTGCATTGCATTCTTATAAATATATGTGATATAAGCTAACATGTATAATTAAGATTCAAGGAGACTTGCAGTTCTGTACTCTAGTGTTCCTACTATATAGTATGTCTTGTTTTTATTAATTCTAAAAAATGCTTTTGTATTCCTATTCACGGTACATTTTAATTACATCGATAAGCTTATCTCTAACAATATTTTATATATTTTATGAGTAGTTTTTTTTTTTTTGTTTCGTTAAAATGTTATTTTATATTAAATTTAAAAATTATTTTAAGTCTTTTCACTGAGCTTTAATTTTAAATTGTTTTTCTATCTTTAGGCTTCGCTGTATGTCGAAAAATATGACATTTGACCATACCTAACAGCAAATCTATCTGTTTTTACTACTCCGCATTCCACTCATAAGCTTCATTCATGACTAAATATACTAAGAATAAAATTTTATTATATATATATAATATATTGCATTGAAACAGACAATTTGTTTCCTAATAAAATTACGGTTATCAATATAAGATCTAGTTGTAGTTACGGTAATCTAGTACACGATCGTATACTAGTAAAATCTTCTTCTCCGCCATTTTACTAGGGTTTACATTTTCTAAAGTTTTAAATATTCTATTCCTGACAAAGTGTTTTTTTCAAGAATCGACATTTCAACAAGCTGCTGAATCAAGAATAATAAGAATCTGGATAATACAAATATGTAAATAACATAATTCCAGAATACTGATACTATTCTATAATTCCAGAACACTAATATATTGTTCTCTTGTTGATTATAATATAGTGTCATCTGAAAAATAAACTGATGAAATTATGGTATATTTTTAGATTATAAAAATATTTTTTAAATCTTGACTGATCTATAATAATTAAACGTTATAGCGGATTTAAGTATAACTTAAATTAATTTAATATACATAGGGGGAGCGGCGTATATTACTAAATATTTTATTTCTAACCTACAAAATTAATATATTAAAAATATTTAAAACGAAAAAAAAAATCTTGAAATACGTATAATTATTGTTAAATGTTCTTATAAATAGATGTAAATGAAAAATCCTAAAATATTAATAACTTACTATTCGAACATAATAATTTTTATTTAATTTAAATTAGTAAAAGTTATTAGTCATTTATTATAGTCCTATCTTTCGACTTTCATCGACGGTCATCCTCAAGGAGTGCAGATAAATTAATAATTTAAAATTTAAATTATTAAAAATAAATAAAAATTATTATTGCTTTGTTACAAGAATTCTATTCCAAATAGAAAAGAAATAATAGAAAGTTCAGATAAATTAATCATTTTAAATTTAAATTATTAAAGAAATTATTATTGTCCTATGATAAGAATTCTATTTTAAATGGAAAAGGAATAATAGAGAGTTCAGATAAATTATTAATCTTGAACTTTAATTAGTGGTGTTTTGGTTATATTGTAAGCGTATGATATTGAACTACAAGGATCCAGGAATTAAACCCTGTTATATTTAGTTAAAATTAGTTGAAACAAAAATAATGGTCTTAAAATCTTCAGACTTCGGTTTTATTCGCAAAAATTTTTACGTTTTAATTTTTAGTGGTTCCAATTTTAAAAATCAGTCTATTGTGAATGTTCACCATTAACTAATAAATGCAAATACATAAATAATTAAATTACTTAAATATTTAAGATAGAAATGGCTATCATTCTAATATTTATTTTGTGTTCTTCTATTTAAATTAAATAATTTTTAGTGGTTACAGTTTTTTTATTTCAAAAATTACAGCTAATATTTCTATTTAGTTTTTGGTTAATTATTTGACCATCACCTTTACAACGATTTAAATTAACCGAACTGTTGAAAAATAATTAATTGTAAGCTAAACTATTTCTTTACTGTGCTTTAGCACAAATCAAAATATTAAATTAAATTATATATAAATTATAATTTATATTATATATAAATATATATTATATATAAATATATATTATATATAAATATATATTATATATGAATATGTATTATGTATTAATATATATTATATATAAATATATATTATGTATTAATATATATTATATATAAATATATATTACATATAAATATATTTAATATATAAATATATTTAATATATAAATATATATTATATATAAATATATATTATATATAAATATGTATTATTATATATATAAATTATAATTTATATTATATATATAAATTATAATTTATATTATATATATAAATTATAATTTATATTATATATATAAATTATATTTTATAAGTAAATAAGATATTTATTGTCAAAATGAAGTGTTTGACTTTCTTCAGTAGTTCTCACTTTGTTCTCACTGCAATATACACATTTCATCAAATCTGGTTCACTGTTGATATTGATTGGATTTGGTAACTCTGGTTATATTGTCTTTCTTCCAATATTACTGATGAAATTTCTTCAACGTCATATAAATTATCACCTATCCTCCGTCACTCCATTTATTATATGTACTTGTGTTGATGAAAGGCATCATGACGTGAAATACACTGCTGCTGCTGCTGCTGCAATGGTTCTAGTGTTAATAAATTTAAATTGACTTTAAGTAATATATTCTCTTTCGTTTAATTTTATTGTTGTTTATTTAAGCATACCAAGCGAATATATTTTTTAATATGTTGTTGTATATTTTTTTCTTTTTAAATTGAATAAATAAATATTTACGAAATTGCAATTCTTTTAGTTTTGTATTATTGAGTTTTGGTGCTTTTCTATCTATCTGGTCTGGTGCATGCGCTCTAAAACGTCGATTCCACATATCGAAATGTCAAATTTTTATCTGTGTTTTTTGTATTTTGTTTATATACATTAATTTTATTTTTTAGATTGTTTTTGGTATTTTTTTTTATTTACTTTTTTCACAATTTTGTCTTATACCATCTCTGCGTTTTATCGCAATAATTGCTTCGCTGTTTAAAAATTGTTTTATATACAAATAATTTTATACTGCATGTTCAGAAAAAATTACGTAACTTTTGGTTGTGTAGCCGGAGACTTCAACAATTTCGAAATTGTATCTACATGTGATTAAACAAAAAAATATTAACATAAATTGTTTATATAGCCAGTTGATTTGGGTTAGTAATGTTTAATAGTTTTTAGCGTTTATTAAGATTTAAAAGAAATAACTTCGGATGCCGAAGTAAAAATACTGGGAGGAAAACAATCTGAAAACAACACAAAGAATCGAAATCAATAATATTTTATGTATTTTGTTTTGCTAAAATTTGATATTACGATTTTCATATTCAATCTCTCCAGGAATCTACTTTCAAATTTTTTTCCAATTTCATTTATATAAAATATTTAAAACTTGAAAAATACATTTTTTAAATTACAAAAATATTTAAATTACTTTGACAGTTAATTCAATCAAAAATTATAATTATATATTACATTAATATCATAACTTAAAACTAATAATTATATATTTTTTTCTCTTTTACAGTTGTTTTATTTTTGGAAAGTAATTGAAAGTGAGAAAAGTATTGAAGTTGTGTTAAGAAGAAGTTGAGTCCACTTGCGGTCCATCAAAAACAAAAAACAAAAAAAAAAAAGAAAACAAATAAAGCGAAGGAAACAGGGAATAATAATACAAGAACTTACCATTATACATAATTACAATATTAGTAATGTTATTTAATGTGATGGCTTATAATGCTGTTAGTTATTGTTACGATACATCGGATTTTTCTTATAGATTAAGGCCCCACGATTTTGTGGGCCCGCCAGAACTTCTGTTACTAATAGTTAAGTAAAGCTGAATAACAAGTTCAAAGTAAAAGTAATAAATAAAAACCTTTAAAAAAAAATCTTTGCAAAAAAAAAAAAAATTAAAACTCATTTATAATTAAATTCGCTTTGAAGCAGCATTGTAGTCCTTATGTTGCAATCAGGCATAATCGTTGTTGAAAAACCTCCATCAATAGCAACTCAACAGCAAAAGCAAAAACCAAATCACGAAATTCAATATGTCGAATATTACGAGCCAACTGATCCGCCTCTTCAGCATCATCATGCAATCGTTCTGGATAATGTAAGTGTAACCCATACGCCTAATAAAAATCAGTTTAATATTAATAAGCCAACTATGTCGCAGAATTTTGCATTACCACACAATCAATCCACACAAAATAATCATCAACGAATAACTCAAATGTTACAATTAAGCGAACAACCTAATGCTGCTACAACATCTAATATTATAGTACCAACAGCGGATTTTGCATCAAATCAAATTTTTAAAATAGTGAGTACAGATGGTGCAGGTGGTATAGAGAGTCGGCAAATGTTTATAGATGCATCAACGAATTCTAAAATGTTGCTTGGTAATATAACGATGTTGCCAAAGCAAGTAGGAAATGCCACAAATGCAAATAATATCAGCGTATTGCCAACTCCACAAAATAATCAGCAACCGCAAACTATAAATTTTGTAGGTACGAAAAATATACCATACATTAGCGGAGGAAATACAGCTCAATTGAATGGTAAAAAATTTCCTACGAAAAATGCAAATGTCAAGAATCAAATACAAACGACAGGTACATTTGTCCAGCAAACACCGCAGCATGTGGTGCATAAGGTAAATGTGCCAACGAAAGTGATTTCACGTATGCCGACCATTGTACAACAAGCCACAAATAACACCAATCACAATATCACACAACAACCATCAACAAATCATCCGTATGTGGTATCTCAGTCACACAAATATGTAACTGCTAGCAGCAGTAATATACCAAAGATTGGTAATATTATAAAGAAGAATGTAAATAAAAGTTGTCAGAATAAAATATCCGCTAATAATACACAGCAACAAGGCACTGTAAAAACGTTTATAGCTCAGCAAGCCTATCAATACCATCCAAATAACAATAATAAAATCACTAAAACTAAATTACTTAAACAATTAGGCAATACCACTGGTGGCGGAGTCTCAATTGCAACATTGCCACTGCAGCAGAGTTTTGGTACCTATACGATAAACTCAAATAAATTAAATAGCAGTAATCAAAATAATGCGACAACTAAAGTTACTAAAATGACTAACAACAAATTTATAATGCAAAATCAGCCGCAACATGTTGCTACATTACCGCAGGGTACGCAACTACAACATAAAACTATGCAGGCTACACAGCCACAAAGTAATATTGTTGTACAACAGCAAATACTTCCAAATTCGATAGTTGGTGGCAATAGTAATTCAAGCGCTTCCAATAGTAACATTAAGTATGTTAATTCACAAGGTGCTGTTATACAACAACATCAAACACATCCTAGCTCACAGCATAGTCAAAAATATCGCCAACAGTTTCTGGAGACGCCTGTCTGTATACAACGTGAAAATAATACAGTGACGAATAATGCATCTTCTGCAATCAGTAACTATCAGACAGAACTCGATATGACCGATGAGATGTCTGCGCGCATTCTACAAAGTATGGCCCAAAAACATTTTAATAAGCAACAAGCACAACATCATCAGCAAAAACTCAAAGTATTGCCATCGCAGTCACAACCCCATTATATAATACAGAACTCGCCGGGCAGTACAAATATTGTCTTGTCTCCGAACGATTTTTCTACTTATAATTCCCAACAACAAAATTCTTACATGCCTATCTCTGCGAAGACATTAATAACAAATGTTGCTAGCAATTCAGCGCCGTCAATTTCCTTATCAAATGCAAACGCAGAAAAAAATCACAGTACCTCTGTCAATAGATCACAATCACTAGAACGGAAACAACTTGATACGAATTCTGCGAAAAGGGCAACTGAGTTCATCAAAAACAGGTAAGAAAGGAGAATTTTTTCTTATAATTATCACAATTTAAGTAGAGATGAGATAGTCTCAGTTATTGATGAGTTTTAATGAGAAAGTAACTTTAAATTAATCGACAATATAAACTAATTTTGATAAGAAATAATACACTTATTTTCTAGGGCAGTAGTACCCAAGCTTTTTTTTAACCAATGAGATCACTATGATATTTTTCTCTTTATAAGGGACCACAAAGTTTAAGAATCTGCATATTTTTCTTTGTGCTCAAAACTCCAGCTTCTGTTGCTTTGTCTGGATATCGCATCATTGTACAATATACTGAGAGCATGACTTTGTAACCATGATTTGGTTATGCGGGCATAACAGTGACAAAGCTCCAGTTTGAGCACAATAAATAAATATACAAGATTAATAAGATTATTTTAATATGCTTTAAGCATTATTGGTATAATATATAATGAATTGTATAAGTGCATAGGTACATTATATAGGCTCTAAAATAGGTGTATAGTTACATGGAAATTTTTTGTGTTTTCTAATAAGTGAGGACTCAGTGAACAAACTACAAGCTATGTATCTATATGTGTAAAATTTGATTCACGGAACATTGTTAACCAACTTGCGGACTATCAGTTGGCAACCAATGTTCCCAATGCATTTAACTGCAAACTGTGTGTGCACTTTAAGGATCTACTCAATGTTTCATTTTAATTTCATCATGTGTGCCTACAAACAGTAACAGTAAATCTTCGAACACCAATCGTGTCCATTAGTTTTCACGAAGCTCTTTATACTCGAGCCAAAGATCCCAACTACAAGCATAATCAAATAATACTCAAAGCAATAATATATTTCTTTATGAGTAAGAAACTTTCTTGCGGCTCCAGCGACTACCAGCAAAATCAAGAAAGCCCATAGCAGACAAATTAAGTTTTTGCTGTTTTATAGGTAGAAAGTAAATTATATATTATAGATGCTGAATTGAATTATTGATAATATTAAAAAACTTTAATAAAACTAGCCCACCTTGGTTAACATAATCTCCATTGCCGCTGATATCTGAGTAAATTGTTTTAATAAAAAATTGTTGGAGAAAAATTTAGATGTAAATTTTTAAAGACCTAATTTTGAATTGCTTCTTTGGGGCGTTGGCCTCAAAAAGTTAGGTAACAATACTTTAGAGTCTGTATAATTTAATTTGAAGAAACTAAGGATTAAAACTAAAAAGAGACAAATTAAAACATTTTAAATATAATTTAGTAAAAATATTTTTAGAAGTTTTGTATATATGTACATTATTTTAGTTTTTCATGGATAATTATTTAATTTTTTTACTATATTACTGTTAATATGTATGTCCTTTTAAAGCCAATAATTTTGTATCCTAAATGATAAAGTAGTATTAGTATTAGTAGTATTATAAAATATTTTTTAAGAATTTTATTTTCATCTTCTTTATTCTATTTTTTTTTTAGCAACGCCAGTTCGCCTGTCTATCGAAACAATAATAATTTTAATGGATTAAGCGTTGGGGCTCTACCAACAACAGAATCAGTTGCTTTTATACAGTCAATTAAGCAGAATACTGATACCACTCTTATATCGACTAATAGTTACAGTGCTAATACTACAGCAAACTTATCTCAGGATGACGATATTATTGGTGAAGAAGTAAGACCATTGCCCATTACAGATGATGTAAAATTACATTGTTTACATGCGGTGTGGCTTGATCATACCTATGCAAATGCAGCGCCGACACGTTTAACAACGGAAGCTGTGAACAATAATGCTAATAGCAGTACATTACATAAAACTGTTAGCAATAGTGGACATATAGAAGCACAACCAAGCTCATCATTGGTTGCTAATCCAGTATCAAATAATTGGACATTGGGAGGAATCAGTGCTACATCTGCAAATAACGCACCTAGTGATATTACAGTAATAACTGTACCCAATTCTCTAACGTCGACTTCAAGCGGAACGCCATCAGTATATTCATTATATGGACAACAGAGTAAGTAAAATCTTAGTTTTTTAGTTTTTTTTATTTTTTTGCGTTTTTTTTTTTTTTTTGTAATAAAAATGTTAATTTAAAAAAACTATTTGTTAAAACAGTAACGAGGCAGCCTCAAGACGATGACGCACATTCAGCTATAAGTAATGGTTCACGAGTTGCAACTGGTGATATAGACCCTGGAGAAGAAACAGAGACGGCGCCAGAAGCTGAAGCGGAAGATGACTCTTTAACTCGTTGTATATGTGATTTGACCCATGATGATGGTTACATGATTTGTTGTGATAAGTGCTCGTAAGTATAACAAATATCATTTAAATATATTTGTAAATATTGTATGCGTTTTTATTATAGAAATTATTTTTTTAAATGAACTATTTTTAATTACAGTGCATGGCAACATGTGGATTGCATGGGTATTGAAAGACATAATATTCCTGAAGAATATTTGTGTGAAATATGTCAACCAAGGCCTGTAGATAAAGTACGTGCTCGTCAAATACAATTAATGATACGCAAAGAGCAAGCCCTTTCCATGCAATCGGGCGTATCTACTTTAGTAGATGCTGCAGGTGTTATTGCTGCTTCAAAAATGCATTTTAATGAGAATATAAATAGACCTGGTGCTAATATATCACAGAAGGATACCTTGCAAAATAGTAAGAATAGTGGAGTGTTAAAAAAGGGTAAGGTTCTTAAGAAAACAAAGGAGACTGGCGTTAAAAAACTCAAAAGAGAAAAAAATGGTGAAGTATTTTCTAGTGGCAAAAATATTCGCAAAGAAACAAAGAAAAATACCAAACGCAAGTCCAAAACAACAGAAAATAGTGCACATCCAGTTAAACAATCCAATCATATGAGTAATTTAATAGAGCATTATGAACATGCCATGACGAACCACTACTCTCAACAGTTGAGAGCGCGAATTTATTCCTTGACAAAAGTTCCAAGTATAATGCAGGCCATAAATATGAAGAGCAATGAGTTGTTGAAAGACTATCGAAATTTCGAAAGTAAAGCTACAATAGTACCATTTGCTGGTGGTAAGATATTGATAAGTAATCAAGACATAAAATCTAATTCGCCAATTGTTGAGTTGCTGGGAAAATGTATGCTTCAAGAGCAATTTATAAGTCAAAACAGTCATGCATATATAAATGATCCACCCGTAACAACTAATCCACTGAATAAGGTGCATAAAACTCCTGGTCCGTTTGTATTTTTTTATCACCTACCAAATGTAGAAGATCATACAATTGAAGGATCAACGTTAACTCAATTGCAAGGCCAAAAAATCTGTATTGACTGCAGAACTTATGGCAATGAAGCTAGATTTGTGAGGCGATCTTGTCGTCCTAATGCTAAAGTACAACATATTGTTGAAAAAAATGCTGTTCATTTGTTTATTGTAGCAACTACTGACATACGGGCAAGTACAGAAATAACTATAACTCATGAGCCACATGATTTACTAGCATTGGAAACCCCGAAATCTAGTAATATTTCTGTGATTTCAACAAGTACGCCTTGTGCTTGTACTTGTTTTGTTTGTCCTTTTGTAAACACGACTTCAAAGACAAATCGCAGAAACCGTAATAGTCCAGTGTCAAGTGTGAGTGTGGTGACAACTAACACAACTATGGGAAGCTCGAAGAAGAAGCAATTGAATAACCGAAACAGATCAACATCCTCATCAACATCATCTAGTGGAGACAGTACAATCGGTCTTAATAGCCCCAACATTATTAATAATTTATATAAAAACAATATGATTGGAAACAATCCTAGAGCCGCCAATAGCAATTCGAAAAATGTATTTCCTATGGTGGGGACTCCCAAAAATAGCAATGGCAATTTACTATCAGTTCGAAATAATTTAAATGATTCGTCGCCTTTTATAACAATCTCACCGATACAACAACAACAACAAAAGTTACCAGTTTTGCAAAATTCTGTAATAGATGCAACTTTAACAGAGCCAACCCTTGTTATACAAACAAATCAACAAATTATGTCATCTCTGCCTAGTAGTATGATTGTATCACCGCATCAAATTCAATTGCCGCAGCAACCACAAGTATTGCCTGTTGTACAGCAAGTGTCACTTACAGTTGCAGTAGCACCAGAAACTGTTACTGCTTCTGCAACTCCTACAAATACTTGTATTGTTGCATCATCTAATTTTGAGGAAGAGAAAGTAGAAAAACCTATGATTGCTCAACTACAGACACCAGTGTCACCAATTCTGTTACAAACAAGTCCAAAGCATCAAGATATTGCGGTGGAATTGCCATTATTACCACAACAGCAACCAGTTCAGACTGTAGTAAATTCTAATGATGCTACAATAGATGACACACTTGCAGCGTCGGCTCTGCAAACACTTAATTCTGCAAATAAATCATCTACAGAAATAGAACAAAATATAAGTAGTCAAGTAGTTCAGACGGAAAAAGATGAAGTGGATATAGCTAATCCACAACAGCATGTGTCTCTATCAATTAATAATAATATAACAATTCAAAATGTACCTGTTCAAGAAAGTGCAAGTCATAAACCGATTCCCACAACTAGTAATTCGTTGGTGGATACAGGTCGCAAAATTAATACTAGAAACAGTCGTTTAACAAGCTGTTCAGATGATATATCTAATGACTGTCAGTTAGGCACTGAAGAGGGTTCCAGTAACATAAATACTGTAGTAACATCTACACCAAATGTTGGACAAAAATTATCTCGTGAAGACAGAAAAATGCAGGCGATTATACGTGCTATAGAAAACATGGAGAGAAAACAAAAGAAACAGTCTAAGAGTGCAGCGTCAAAACGTCGTGGCAGCAATAATAACAATGGAAATAGTTCATCTGAGATCGAACTATTGAACTCGAAAAAAAGTTCCTTAACAACGCGAAAAAAGAAACGAAAGCCATATAAATCTCATCCAGTAAACGGTGCTCAACGTAAACGTCGTAAAAGTCGAATTAACAGTAATGAATCAGATGCAGACCATGATGCAGATGCTGAAAATGATACCATACCAATGTCGGAATGTGAATCAACATCTATGCTTTCGCCACCAATTCAAACAACTGCTTCAAACACAGCCTCAAGTGGTGACATAAATACTCCTGCACTTATAACATCTGCGCTAGCAAATACTGATACTTTTATTAATGAATCTACAAATGTTGATCAAGCAGCTGGTTTATTAATGGCATTTGCAAATCCAAATAAAATTACAAATTTAGATTCGTTGAATTATCCCATAGAAAATCACCTGCCAGAAACACAAAAAGTTTTTCCAAACATAAATGTTTCCACTGAACGTTATCTAATAAATAATGAATTTAAATCACCACAGCGCTTATCATTACCAGTAGAAAATGTTATGTCACCACCATCTACACCACCAACACAAATAAGTTCAGCATGTTTACTTATAGAAGCGGCTGTTGGTCCATTGGAATCACTTGATAGCGGCAGTAACACACAATGTGATGATGGGTTTAAATATCCTGCTGCATCTAGAACTAAAAAAGCAATCACGGATTGGACGCATCAAGATGCACAGTCATCATCACACAACTGTAATTTAACAAACGCATCGGGTATAACCATGGCATCTACTCATGCCGGAGTTCTTGGATTGGATTCATTAGTACAAGCTGCTATGTCAGATTTTGCACCACAGCAAAACTATACTGACAAAATATCTGACGAGTCTCAAAATGTAAGCATAGCTGCAAAAAAAATTGAAGAATTTATAAATCAAACTGAAGGAAGCAGTAGTCCACTGATAACTTTAGAGGAACAATATACAGGTTTAACCACACATTCTGTCCCTAATAAGCATTATAATGCGTTGGCAGAATTAAATGTTGATAGTGCAGAACGGCATTTACAATTACCACTGCAAGTAAGTACATGCAATAATTCTTCTGTGAAAAAACGTTGGTTACGCCAAGCTATTAGTGAAGAAACTGATGAAAGTGCTTTAACACCTTCTCCAGTGACACCGTCAACAACGTCGCCAACATCACAAATTAATACTACTTTTCCAGTTAATAACGGGTTTAGCACTCCACTTAAAAAACGCAGGTTGGTTCTTCGTAATAAGGATGATGATTTAAATGAAACATTGAATTTGAATCAAACATCCCAATTTGAAGGAACTAACGAAGAAGGATCATCAGATTTAAATAAATCTGACATATATGCGACAGGCAACAATTCACCGTTACGAACAGAAGAGGTCGACGTTGTTGGTAATATAAAGACAGAAGATGAAGCTGAAATAGTAGATGTTGGAACGGATATAATACTACCAGTAAATCACAATCACGATTTAAAGCAGGAAAATGATGAAGATATTAAACCAATACTATCAATAGAGAGTGAAAAGAAATCTGAAATTATTTTAGATCAAGATGACGATGTTGATATATTACGTTCGCCAAGTCCAGGACAAAAAATAGTTGCTGAAGATAATCTTGTAAAGATTGAACCAGAGGACACGAATTGCTGTGATGATGTTAAAATTGATGTTGAGAGGGAGGAAAGTATGACTGGCGATAAATTTAAAGAGTTTGTGGATATTAAGACTGAAGAAAATAAAAATGAAACCGTTAAAATTAAGGATGATATAAATATAATAGATAACACATTAGAAAATAATGATATTAAAAGAGAGATCGACGTGGTTAATAGTAGTAATATGCTCAAAAATGAAAAGGAAATGCAGTTACAGTTATTTGTGGATGATCAAAAAACAGTATTACAAGAGAGCGGCTCTATAATTAAAAAAATAGAACAACAAATACCTTCAGGTGACCAAACAACAAAACGAAATTCTACAGAAATTATGCCAACTTCAAATGAAGCAAAGAAGGAATCTATTACATACACGTCCATATCTAAAAGAGAGCGAAAAGATCTTTCTGATGATGATATTAAAGAGCGCCTGCATAGCTTTCATAAAGAGAATATTCTATTTCTCCAGTCTCGTAATAAAAAATCAAAATCAGAATCTTCAACAGTATCGACAGAAATAAAGTCTAAGCATGAAAAACGACGTAACGAAAAATCAACTTCTTCTGAAACTTCTGTGACAAAAAAGTCACATCATAGTTCCGCGTCTAAGAAATCACATAAAAAGGAACGAAGTCGTAGTTGCAGCAGTAGTGCCACTTCTAAAATGAACGTACAAAATGTACGTAGTGAAAATAGTAGTACCACGCATACAGCTACTGCAAACAAAGCAGATACAGAAACTATAGATATTGTCGGAATAAATTCATCATCTTTATCAAATAAAAAAACAAAGTCACTTGCCAACACTACACATGCTAATACTACTTCTATAGAAAAAGAAAGAAATCGCCACCGATCCTTTTCATCGTCTTCATCAGGAAATTTAAACACAAAGAAACGACAATTGAATTTCGATCAAGAATTGAATAAAGATATTGCAACAATTTGTACTAAAATTAGAAAAGATAATAAAGAAGATTCTGGTGCAAATAGTACGAAAAAACGTCGTTTGTCAAATTCCTTATTGAATGAACGTGAAGATAACCGAAATTGCATTAATAATTCAAATATTAAGATTATAAAATCTCAATCGGCTTCTTCTGTAATTTCTTCAAATACGAAAATATTAGATAAAATATACGAAGCATCAATTAAAGATAAAACTTCTACTATAGCTAGCGTTAGTAATATTTTACCAGCGACAACAACAACAACACCGACAAATGCAATAACTGCTGGTGTTAGCCACATAAAACAACCTACACAACAACAATATAGATCCTTAACTCAGCAAACGTTAGATGAGGGCTGTCAAGCACCTGCACCAATTGTTAATGAACATATTTCATTACCAACTTTCAACAACATTGTTTTAACAGGATCTAGTTTTAACAATTATGTTGGTGGAACATCCACACCAGCAACAACTACTATTCCACCGAATAACACAATGCCATTATCACAAGTTTCAACAAATATAGCGTTACCAATAATTGAGTCTGCAATAACTGTAGCGGGTAATCAAAGTCAAGCATTAAACGGCAAAAGTAATATATCAACATATGCTCCAGCTAATCATAACTCTATTTATGGAAAGTTACAAGATAATGTAAATCAACAGCACTCAAATTTAACATCGACGCAAACGACTCCGTCAAACAGCGCATTACTAAGTCTGCCAACAACTATTCATGCAGATAGTCATGTAGCTCTTATCGATACGAATGTGAGAAGTTTTAGCACTCTAGGTAATTATCAACAGCAGCATTCAACTTTATGTACATTAGATACGGGCAAATATTCAAGTGATGGAGTTAGTAATTCAACTATTACTACAGAAAAAACAACATTAGCAGCAATAAATGCAAATACCTCGAACAAATTTTGCACACCTTTAAAACAAGTGTCTAAGGATCCACGTTTAAACCCAACATTAAATACTCCTGATCCACCACCGGTTCCAAAACGTAAACTATCAATACTTGAATATCGGAAGCGCATGAAATTATCAACTTCCGAATCAAGTACCAGTGGTAGTATGCCTAGTACGCCAATCACACCTGAGACTCCTTCAGGCACAAATACAGTTTCTAATAATTTATTGACTACTGGTTTAAGCTTTAAGACAAGTACTGATACGGAACTGAATGCATCGGTGGAACGAGTTGACTTGGATATCACAACAAATATGCAAAAATCATGCAATATGAACTCTAAAGATGACGTATTAAGAGGTAATGAAATTTATAAATTTTATTTTTAATATAATTTTTTTCTTTTGATTTGATGTATATATTAATGTTATGTAAAAGACTTTTAAAAAAGAGAGACAAAAATATTTTATCAGTAGAAAACTAATATTAATTGTCAATTATAATAAACTCCGAATCCATGAAGCGGGCACAGTAGGAAGGTCGCGATGCTAAATCCCTTAATTTATATAATGTAATTATAAATAAAAAATAATTACTAATAAAAATATTTATGTTATAATTATGAACAAAAATAATTATAAATAATAATTAAGAATTATTAATAATAATAATTATAAATATTGTTTATAGCTAAAAATAATTATAATTATTCATAATAAAAATGATAACAAATAATAATTATAAATAAAAAAAATTATTATAAATAGAAATAATTATGAACAAAAATAATTATAAATAATAATTATGAATAAAAATATATATATATACTATATATTATAAATGTAAATAATATAAATAATAAATATAAAAAGATAATATATTTATATATATTATTAATAAAATTAAATATTATTTATAGCTTAAAAATAATAATAATAGAAATGATTACAATAATAATTATAAATAAAAATTATAAATAAAAAAAATAATTATAAACAGAAATAATTATAAAAATATATAAAAATAATTATGAATAAAAATAATTATATGTTATAATATATATAATTAAGAATAAAAATACTTATATTTGCTTATAAATTATAAGCAAATTAATTAAGTTGTAAATAAAAATAACTTTATTTGTCCTACAGTTATGATATTAAAAAAGAATAATAATACAGTTTTTCTTGTATTTTTTTATTTGAATATAGGAAAGTTATAGTACAGAACAGCATGTATAAAATTAAATATTTATTTATATATAATTATTTTGAACGTACAAAAGTAAATTTATTGAGTTTTCTAAGAAATAGGTTTTCAAATTACTATGAGGATTTTAATTTGTTATATCATAACCTAATTATTTTAAAGTATCCATTATTACTCATATATATTTTGATACGCATTATATATATATTTTTTTATTTATTATTAATTTCTTTATTTATTATTAACTTTTTTATTTATTATTAATTTTTTTATTTATTATTAATTTTTTTTAATTATGTTTTCTTTAGAGTAGTTTTAAAGCTTCTAAATTTTTGTTTTAGGTCAGTTTAGTGCAGAACCTACTCTATTGGAAAAACAACAAGAAAAGTATTTAGAGGCTAGACAATTTAATGAAAGTGAAATATCGTTATTAGGTAAGTGAAGAGTGTTTTTATTTCATAATTCATTATAGTTTATATCAATTAAACTATAGTAGTTTAACTTTAGTACTACTAAAATATGTTATTGTATTTTAATAAATACGATATTAAATAAAAATTTTAGTTTTTCTTATAATAAAGTGAAAACAGGGATAGAGTGATAATATATGTTTACTATAGTCAAAAAAAAAAATTAACAAATTTATAATTAATCGTCTCACATATATATTTTTATAATAATGAAATAAAATAAAATTGTAATTCTTTCTTTAGACAAAACTAAACTACATTTTAGTTTAAGCAACACATCGAATTTGGATAATTGTCTTGACCCGATATCGTCATCATCAAGTTCGAATTCAGTATCTTCGTCACGAGAATCAAGTCCATAACATTTAAAAAATAAAGTTTGCAATATTGAAGTGCAGAACATTTTAACAACGATAAAAAAACCTAGTACTCACTGAACATATAAATATATGCTAAACATATAAATATATATATATATATTGAAGACGATTGCGTGTATTGAATTATATTTTATCATTTTAGTTAATTATATTTTTATAGAGAATCGTTTAAGAAATTTCTATTTTTTTAAAATGAAGAAGAATTGTGTATGTATCGAATATTGACAAGTATTTAATTATCCATCTAATTGAATTTTTGCCTTTACTTTTTTAATTACTTTAAATTAAATTTTTACATTTTAATTTTAATCAATATAAATAACTATTACCTTAATTAAATTTTTACAGAATTCACTTAAAGTAAACTATTATGCTTAAAATATTACAGAAATATTAATGTTTATTTTATATAAACTATACTTATATATAAATTTCGTGTTTCTTTTTTCAAATAAAAAATAAACATTTTTTCATGTAGATGTTTAAAATTAATTTATTTATAATATAGAAAAAAAATAATTGTAACAAACGAAAATTGAATTTATTAAAATTGTACATAAAAAGAAAATACAAAATTTTAAATCTAAATCGTTTAAGTCTACAAAATGTCCTTAAGCCATTTCCTCGTAAAAATCGTGTATATAATATTAAAGTGAATTATAATATTTCATACTAAAGAAATAGTATGAAAATTTATACAAATTTTAATTACTAAAAAGTATGGTTTAAGATAAACAAAGTGAACGAAAAAAAACACCAACAGCAGTAATCAATATAGCAATCAATAAATATATAAAATAATAAAAATGGCCACTAAAAAAAGAAAATTGTAAATATTTTATTAATATGAATTTTTATTGTTATTGTTAAATAAAAGGAACATTTATTTGCAGTTCAGTAACATTAAATCCCGTAATATTTATTGTGTATATACTTATGTAGATGCTAATCTATTTGTAAATTATCTATATATATATATATATTCATATATATGTATATGTATTGTATTATATATGTTAATATAAATTGTAATATAAGAATTTTTAGAATTAAATTAACAAATGAAAAATTGTAGGAATGCAAAATTCTCTTAAATAGTACAAAATTGTATTTAATAATAAAAAGTTGTCTGATATAAGTGAAATACTAATACTAATAATAGATTATATATGCTAAGAAAAACAAAAACACAAAAAAAAAAAATAAAAATAAAAAGCGTTGTATAGTTTACATTTAAACTTAAATATAGATTTATATTAAATTTAAAGTTGCTTGACAAATAGAAATTAAATATTTATAAAAGTTATATAAAATAGTATTAACTTTTTTACCTAAGCTTAGAGTTGTAGGGTTTGAAAAACCAAATAAAAAATCAAAATTTATATAACTCTAAATTTAATTTCATGTAGAGTTTTGAAATTTATATTTTTTCTTATACCAAATTAAAATTACTCGTACGTGTTTTGGCCATATTTTAATTTTTCCAAAATGTACATATAAATCAAAGATTGTTAATTATTTAATTATATAGTCTTATATTTTTTATGTTAAATGATTTTTAATTATTTTCAAATGAATCAAATTTTTTTTAAATTGCATTTTAATTAACATTAATATTGAATTATTTCTAATTTTAATGTATATGTGAAAAATGATTAAAATAATTTTATTATAATTTTCTATAAAATATGTGTATTTTGCAAATACAGTACCTTTTATAATTAAAACAAGAAAGTAATGACAAAAAATGAATTTAACAATTCAAAAAAAAAAATATAATTAATTAATTAAATTATTCTACAGCTGGTTTATGATTTCATTTTAATAAACAACAGCAAGTAAAATTGTTAATGAACTTTCACAATAAATAAACAAAACTCCAAGTGCGAACATACAAGTCAAGTACGGCTTTGGGAGAGTTGGTTAAGGAGCACTGACTCTGAGTTTCAAATTTGTCAGGGCTCGAGTTCTCAACTCTTGGTACCATCTGCAGTCTCAAAAAATTATTTACGAACAATTAAATATAGGAAATAATTCCAAGAGCATTGATAAACGGTATTTAGCAATACCTGAAATATCTGTAAGGTCAGCCAAAAATTTAATTAGTTAATTTTATTGTTATAATTTAATACTGTTTGATATATCTCTCTACTGAAAACAAAAGTTTATATTAAGAATTTAGTTTCTTTCGTTAAAATGGACGTTAAAAATCAATCTAATACAAAAGTAATAATTTCAACATTGTTTGGGTCCTGGGCATAGTTATTTAAGATGAAAAAAATTAAATTTATTTTAATTTCAATATTGGGTAAACAAACAACCACCACAGAAGCATAAAAAAATACATTAAATTTATAAATAAGAAACTATTAAAATTACTGTTATTTTTTTATTTTTCTGTATTTAATTTTTGTATTTCTAAATTTTATTTTATTTTTATATGTTTTATAAATTTAACACAAATTATTTTTGTCTGGTTTTTACTCTGATTTCTAATAAGAAAAATTAATAACAAAAATGAAAAGTTTATATTATTACGAAATCAAAAATAATAAAATTAATAATAAACTAATACTTTAAAGTTTTTATTATTGGCTATTATGTCAATTTTATTTTATTTTAAACAAAACACGTTGGTTGGTTTTATTCAATCATCATTTTATTTAGATTCATTAACATGTTCATTATGTCAACTATCTTTGATTGTTATCTTCTAGAATTATTTACTACTAATTTCCTGAACTGATTTTGGCCTCCAACTGTATACCGCAAAAAACAAGTTAACTAATAAAAATGTACAATAAATATAATACACAAATACAATAAATTATTACACCAATTGCATACCTATGTCAATTAAATAAATTTGTTAATAAGTTTAATTAAAATTGATAATTAAATAGAACCAATGTAACTGTAAATCTATAACAATAGTGAATTATTAATAGTAATTGATAATTAATAATAATAAATTAATAGTTATAATAATTTGATGATAATAATAATTGAATAATAATAATAATTAATAATAAAATAATATTCATAAACTAATATTAATGAATTAATATTTGTTGAAGTATATTAATAACAATACAACAATAATAAAAAATAATTATTATCAGTTATGCATTAATAAATGTTTATAATTACTTAATATAATTTTTTAATAATATAACTATGTGAACGTTTTTTGTATAATTTAAATTACATTATTATGCAATTTTAATTACATATTTATATAATTTAAATTCTGTTTTTATAAAATTTAAACTATAACTTTATATAGTTTTTATATAATTTAAATTATAAGTTAAATATAATTTAAATTATAATTTAATATTATTTAAATTATAATTTAATATTATTTAATTTATAATTTAATATTATTTAATTTATTATATAATATTTATTATTTATATAAATTTGTAATTAAATTATAATTTATAAAAATTGAATATTTTTTAAATTATAATATCGTGTAACTCAAAATATAACTTTATATAACTTATGCATAAAGTTTATACATATTTTCATATTTATAAAGTTTATATATAAACTATTATATGTATATATTTTATATAAATTATGTAGTATATAATTTATATATTCTTATATAACCTATATATTTTTATATAATTTATATATTTTTATATAATATATATGTTTTTATATAATTTATATATTTTTATATAATTTATATATTTTTACATAATTTGAAATAATTTACTTATGTAATTAAATTTAAATTAATTTTATTTAAAGTTATTTATATATGTTAGTAAATATTTTTATATCTTTTATTTTACATTAACACTGTCCTAACATATAATATATACATATTAAATTATACAATGAGATTATATTCGATTTTATTTTTATTTACATATTTCTGTGATTGGTTGGTTGTTCTGTTGTCATTTCATTCTTTTATAATATCGTTAATAAATTTTTTAGTATTTTTCTGCATTATTCATTTTATGGTATTTTCTCTCAGTAAATACTGTGTTGGGAGTACTCACATTAAATGCAATTTTACTTAATCACTTTATTTTTCTACATTTTTCTAAAACTGAGTTGAGAACGTTTGCGATGAGTGAAAAAAAAGTCTTATGTAAATATGCATACATAAAAGTATATAGTTTATAAAATATCTAATAAATTTTCATAAGCCGCAGGTCGGTACTGTTTAAAATAGAATTTTATACATTAAATTGGTATGAGAATCTTTACTCCAAACAAAAATTTTTTAAACATTAATTATATTATATATAATTGAATTGCAGTTTAAAATAAAAGAAATTCAAATCCCTAGAAATTCTAAGCTTGACAAAGTTGTATATATTAATATAAGAAAAAGTATATATTGAAATGTTTATATTTTATATGAACACTTGTTACAAATAACTAATATTAGATTTATGAAAAAAAAACCAAAATTATTGAAATGTTTTTAAGCTTTTTTAAAATACTTTTAACAAATAAGGTTAATTAAAAACATTTGGGTTTACGATTTATACTTAAATTTTTAAACATGATTGCTACTTTAAAAAAAATCTGCTAAAAAATAACTATACATAATGGCCGCAATATGAAATTATTTTAAACTATAAATGAATTACTACTTGAACTGTGAATTTTTTTCTTAATTACATTAAAATTTATTTTTTATTTATAATATTTTTTGTACCTATTTCATGTAGCTATTTTAGGTTTAATATAATTTAAATTTAATTATTTTTTTATACATTTTTTATAAATATACATATTATTAATAATACATGAATTGTAAATAAAATACACTAAATTATTTTCTATGTTATATTTTTTACTATGTTAAACATTTTATATTACTAAATAAGTTTAAAAAAAAAAATCAAAAATATACAACATAATGGAAATTATAAAGTTTCCATAAATAAATTTAAACTATATTGTAAATTTTAAAAGTTATAAAATTAATTTATGTAATAAATTATATTTGATTTATCTACTAAAATTTAAAAACAATAAAACTCGATAAAAATTATTGTAAGCGTATTATTAAAAAAAAAAAATTTTAAATAAACTTAAAATAAAATTTTAAATATAAAAAATTGTGTTTTCTTCAGAT